CCCCGTCCACGGCCGCGGCCCCGACCCCGCAGACCGAAGCCTCCGCGGAAACCGCCGCGGGCTCCCATCCCAGGGCCTCCAGGCCCTCCCGCTGCACCGGCGTCATCCGCCATTTGGTGTTTTCTCAGAAAAGCTTGACTCTACCTCATACTTAGAGTCTATTTCTTGATCTCCAATCTAATCTCACTCTTCACAATATTATTATATTATTTTCCTCATAATATATATCTCAAAACCTCATTGCCATTGAGTCAGAACCAGCTCATAGTTGACACCCAGGGAGTTTTCAGGAGGCTGTAAATCACACGGTGGGAAGACAGCCATCTTTTTCTTGTAGAGTTTCTGGTGCATTCAAATTGGCAGAGAGGCCCTAGCAACACAACTCTCTCCAGCCACAGCAGCAGTGCTCCCTACACAATGTCTACATTATAAGCTGTGAGACCACAGCACCAGTGCTCTCTACACAATACACACAGTGTCTATTTACAGTATAGGCTAGAAAAGGTCAAGGATGTAAACATGTGTGTATCATTTTATGAATATTTAAACTATGACTATCATTTGAAGGAAGGCTACTGAAAACACTCAACTCTTCAGACTTCTCTTTACAGAACTATGTCAGACTAGGTACCCTTGACAATTTCCTATTGAAAATAATGAGAACTCTAGTTAAAGTACAAAGGGGGGATATGGGAAGCCAATACTAAATATTTTTAATAAACTGAATGCTATTTAAATTTAAAAAAGGAGAAAAAAAGTACAAAGGGGGGGAAAAATGTAATTTATCTGCCAGCTGGGAAAAATCATGGTGGGGGTATAGAGAGAACAAAGAGGAAAAACTTGGGGAATCTGAGTAAAATGTGAAGGTTAATGACTCACATTGTATAAGTATTAATTTTATAGTTTTGACAAATGTACAGTGGTTATCAAAGAAGGGTTAGGGGAAACATAAACTCTTTGTGTAGCTTATCAGTAAATTGAAACCTATTGCAAACTAAAAGTTTATAAAAGGAAAACAAGCAAGCAGATGTGAAACCAAGTATTCCCAGAGTAAGTGGAACATTTGAAGGCAGCTCTCACCTCACAGGTACTTTCCACAGTTGGTGAATGTGAGCTTTATGCTTCACAGCCAAGAAGGGCACAGGAGCCAGGAAACGCACCTGCATCACGCTGGACTGCAAAGGGCTATGCATTCAGTGCGAGAAAAAGTCATTGTGTACGAGATCCAAATATCTCCTTCCAGAGAACAGAAAAAGGAAATGACCTGCTTTGAATTTTAGTGGTAGATAGAAGGAAAAGTGACTCTCTACGAGGAAGGATGGACACAAATTGGTCCTCATGCAGCCCGATATCTTGAATTGACACCACCCATCGCCATAAGGGTGTATACTATGGAGTCACCATGAATGTGACATCTCAATTGCAACTATTAATGTATAGTATCTCCAGTGCCAAGGAAATAACTGAGTAGAACATAGAAATTTAAACAATTCTTCTGATAAGACTAGTTTAAAGTACATATCAGAACCTCAGATCCAATTAGTGCAAACACATAATTATTTTATAATTCATAGACAAAAGACTCTCTATTCTGGCATAAAATACTAAGTTGAGCTGTCCAATAGACAGTCATTAGTCAAAGGTGATGTGTGGGCAGTGAGAATTGAGATGTGCTGTAAGAGCAAAATGCACAGGAATGTTTTCAACAATATACAGAATGTAACATATCTGTGATAATTTTCAAGATTATTACATCTGCAAATAATATTTTGGATATGAATTAAATATGTTATTACCACTCATTTTCCTGGTTTGTTTTTCCTGTTTTAATGTGGTAACTAAACATTGTAAACTTTCTGATGGTCTAGTGGTAAAGAGTTGAGCTGCCAACCCAAAGGCTGGTGGTTCAAATCCACCATCATTTCCATGGGAGAAAGATCTCCTCCCATATGATTTATAGCCTCTGAAAACCCACTGGAAGGTCTGTTATGAGTCAGTTCCAACTCAATAGCACATAACAACAATATTCGGCTTTCGTTATATTTATGTTGAACAGCACTCCTCTAGCTGATAGTAAAAAAAAAAAAGGAAAGTCAGTAACAAAGGACAAATAATACAGCTTTCATATAGTTGTGCACTTTAGAGAAAACATGTGTCTGAACAGCTGGTGTATCAAAGAAGAAATCCTAACTGATAGTTTTAAACAACATTTAGAAAAGTATTCAGCAGTGAATTTGCTACCTATGACGTTTGTGGACAACAACTAAAGCGGAAGGGAGAAGCACATGATGGGAGGTTCCTACCTCACAATGATGGAGGAGGTATGAATGATCCATGCTACATGCCTTGTCAGGGAAAACTTCCAGGGCTTAGTATTGAACATAACGAACAAATCACAGGATAATAGATACACTGTGGCTTTATTTCTGTGAAGATAAAAACGCAAGCAAAACCTACCATTCTATTTTTAGGAAGGCAAACATCCTAGTAATATTCCAAAGAGCACTAAGAGAACTCCAAAGGCCAAGTTCATGTTGGCCACTGTGGGAGGCAGGGAGTGCTGGGAGCTCTGGGGGGACGCTCACGGGGAGCCCCGTGGGAACCTGAAACGGAGATGGTGATACACAGGTGCTCATTCTATTTCAGGAAGCTCTGGTGGCCGAGTGGCAAGAAGCTGTGCTGCACATGCGAAGGCACGCGGTTCGAGGCCACCAGGTGCTCTGCAGAAGAAGGAGGAGCAAACTCCTCCCATGAGATTAACTATCTCTGAAAACCCACCAGAGGGTCAGCTGTGGGTCGGTTCCGACTTTGTGTTACACAACAACAACATTATATTTTAATTCTTTAAACTTCATAATTGTTGCCCTCTCTCCAACTAATGGTCAAGCTGTGTTTAACAGAACAATTCATTGCCCAATCCCAGGCTGGCATGCGCGAGTGCACTGTTACAAGCATCACCTATCTTGACTGGCTTCCAACCCAGCACTCTCTCAGACATTACTTGCTGT